GATAAACAAATATTTGCATGTAGGCAACGGTGGAAAGGTATCTTGAAGTAATGATAAAGTTATCTTCGTGTGACTTAAGGTCATGATTTCGAGCCGTGAGAGCAACAATTAATATTTGCATTAGGGTATATTGTTTACAACACACCCCTTAATGTGCAGTCCTACCCCGAACCCTGCATGAATGTGGGATGCCTTGTGCACCGAGTTGCCCTTGCATGTAGGCTAAATAGTGAGGGAACCAAACGTAATAGAGAAAAAAGATCTTTTATGAACATGCTTTCACGGTGTAAAAAATTTACACAACTAAATTACTTAGAGATAAATATCGTAATAACTATAATTGATAACTTAATGAAAATTAAATTACTTGCTATTAAGGTTAAATTTACCGATAAAGTAAGAAAATAAATTGTTACACTATCGGAAATAACTTAAATGCCATAAACATACATATTCTACTTTATATCTAGATGTTGGAGTGGCATTCTCATTCTCATTCTCATTCTATTTATGACAATTACATTACGTATGAATAATAATAATTTTTGGACTCTCCACTAAGTAAGCAAATCTCATTCTCATTCCAAAATTCTTCTATATTCTTGAATGAGAATGATGTAATAGTGCAAATTGACCGTTAATAGTTACTAGTTAGTTGAAAAACTAGGTGCAGCACGCCGATTTACCTTTGCATTTACACTGAACAGTGATCGGTTTTTTTCCATTTTTGTATGCTATAAAAGTAGAGAAAGTAATCTCTTATTTTGCATTTTTCAGTAACCAATTTTGTCATTACACTCCAATAACGTAAGCATAACAGTTCCCTTGATATTTCAATGAAATCCAAAAAAAAAACCTTATCATAATCTCTATAATTAAGATATACTTAGGAATTAAGAAATTAAATTTCGGTTTTCTTGAAATAGAAGTAGCATGCATGTATCTTACAACTCACAGCAATAGAATCCCTTAAATCCTTGTGTAGATATATGTATAAATAACCAAAAGAGATAAAAAAGGATAATGTAAAATACAAAAACTGGACAAAGCCAATTTATTAGGCACAGTGACATGCCAGAGTGTTTTGCCTCTTTTAGTGAGACATGCTTCAATGTCATTAAACTAATTAGAAATTTTCAATTGTAAGAGCAGTGATCAACAGCTATCACTCACATGCTTCTAGATTATCAATTATAAACTCCATATGTTGATTTACCACTTGCATTTTAATACTAATTATATGACAAGATAAAAGAAAATGATATCTCTCTTTTAAAATTATATATATAGGAAAAGCTCAAACAGCTGGTTCGCAAACTTTAGTTACTGTTGGAAATCTACCAATTATGTAGTATATGTTTTTAATGTAATCATGGATAAGAAGGTGAGAACTACTGGTTAATTTTAAGTTTTGCCCATAATAAATTATTTCCTTTTTTCCCTTCATTATCAGAAGATAGGACTTTACTATATATGTTTAGGCAAAAATTTTATTGTTTTTGCATCATGGTTTATAACTTTATATTTCTACTTTGATTTATACAAGAGAAGAAAAAGAGAATTTACACATTTTTTAAGGAAGATGGCAAACGAATTAGGGCAGTTTATAAATTATAATCTATATAGAATAAAATCAAATTAAAAATTTGTTTAAGATTAACAGAACAATAATATTTGTTACCGATTCAGTGCTCGAGTATACGCTTTTATTATAAGTCAAATGTGAGTTTGAAGTTTGAACTAATTAAAGTCAGAAAAACGAGGATCGTAATCTTAAAATTTCTTTAAAATTCAAAGATATCAAGCCAAAATTTGAGCATATTATTGATCCTCTTTTTAATTAATCATGTTCAGCGCCTTGTAAGCTGCTATATATTAGGCAGAAATTTCCTAACACTTTCACAAGAAAGCCTACACGAGATGGTATATATACTTTTCTTGCATTTGGTGAATGGCTAACCAACTCCCACATGCTATCTCTTAATTGTTGTTCTAATTAAATCATTCTTTCATGCTAATATTCTTACTTATCCATAACATTTGACCTTTTCGTGTTTTTGAAGATTATACCTATGCTACTAAATAATATAACGACTGATTAATTTCGTGTTTTTGAAGACTATACCTATGCTACTAAATAATACTAACAACTGATTAATAGTATTAATTAGCGTACTTTCTGCGCTCTTAAGAACATGGAGCTATCTCTGCAGCACTCTTTGACCATAACGGTAGATTTAAACAAAATTAGAGTATCGAGATAACATGGATAATTATTTAAGTATAGTTGTGATTAGAAAACTAGTTTTTAATAGTGTTTGAATTTGAGAGACAAACTCCTCCCCTTGCCCGTGGTGTCACGGGCACTTCATTTTCCCGTTTATCGGGTTATTAAGCTTGATACTAATAAATGTGGTATTATCATTTTTAGCTCGCGTCAGAAACTATTTATATTTGATAGCCGAAAAATGTATAAAATTTGTATATAACATACAGAATATATATAAATATAAAAATCTATAAATTTTATATATTTTTTCGATTATCATTTCTACAGCAGTGTCATTTTTCCATAATAATAAACCCTAATTCGTAACTACCAATTCATGCTTATATTTTTAGAAAATTAGTTTCACACACTTTCAGATCAGACGGAAAGACTTTACCATTGTAAAGTATATGCAAAAATTTACCATCGTCCCTGCTTTGGAAGATAATTACACTCGTTAACCCCACCCCAACCCTCATATATCCAAGTACAAAATACAAATACAAATACAAATATAAATAATCATATAATAAAAACTAGAAAACCACCGAATATTTTAGGTTGATAGTCCTGCCTTAAAAAAAGGAATTTTACCTCCTATAGCAAAGGTTAACGCGTTATTTATTTTAAACAAATACAATTTAAAAAATTATATTCTATAGATACCTTTTGAAGTTTATAGCAAAATATTTAATTTTGGTTACTTCCTAGCCCTAAGCCACTAAATACACTAATCATTTACACTATTTTCTTTCTCTCTCTACTTTGATACATCTCATTCTCTTCCCCCGTCCCATTAAAAATTCTGATCTCCTCCTCCTTCCACTGGATTTGTACAAAGCCCATCTCCTAGATTCTTCAACACAATGACCCAATTTAAAAATTTCAAGAAATTCAAATGCTTGAAGCTTTTTGAGCCATCACCGGGTGTACTTGGTTGCTTTTTTTTTTCACTGTTTGCTTATTCTTGTGTTTGCTTTTGTTGGATTACAGAAAAGTAAACAAAGGGCCTCGTTTGTACATCCTTGTTTGCTACGTGGATTGGGCTCAATGGATCGTCTGTTCCATATAACAAGACTGAAAAATTGGATTTTTTGGAAAAGGGAGCAGAAAGTTGTGATCTTTTTTATGGGAATTGGATTTGGGATGAAAGTTATCCACCGTATAAATCAAAGGATTATAAGTTCTTGGATGAAGGCTTTCGTTGTTCTGAGAATGGTAGACCTGATAATTTTTATACTAAATGGCATTGGCAACCTAAAGATTGCAAAGACAGCAGCCGCCGACATATAATCCGGTTGGTTTGTTCTTGAACAAAGACGATGGAGTTTGGGGCTGAACAACTTGATTTTCTGTTAATATATTTCAATGTATTTTCATGTATTTCATTGTATTCATTGTCTTTTTTTCATTGCTATTCAATGTGGCTCGTTGTATTTCATTGTATTCACTGTCTTTTTTTCTCATTGTATTTCAATGTATCCCGCTGTATTTTATGTATTTCATTGTATTCACTGTCTCGCTATATGCCATGAATGTATTCACAAGTTTTTTTTAATTAATATAATTTATGTATTCAGGTGTATTATATAATTTCTCTGAAGATTGCTATGTTTTTGGGGTATTTTCGGTTGAGAATCTTTTTTTATAACTGAAAATACAAAAATTGTGTGTTATAATTAAGTTTGTTGAGTTATATTATGAGTCTATTATGTTAATTGATTCACTTTCCGTTTTACAAACAGTATAATCCCTTATTTCACGCCGTGAATACAGTCGAATACAATAATCTGTCCAGCTGTAATCCCATGTTTCACTCCATGAATACAGTCGAATACACTCGAATATAACAACTGATTAGCTGGACTTCCCTGATTCACGCCTATTTTTGCTACTGTATTCATGAATACAATAGCTTAAATACATCAAATACATCTTATAACCACATAAAAGGTATTTATAATCCGTAATATAACAAATGATATCTATAAATAGCTAATTACTACTAAAAGATAATGCTTTATGAAAATTTCTCCTAAAAAACCCCCCTAAATATGAAAAATAAATTGGGTGGTGCAAAGAATACAATTAGGGGTACAAACGAATGTTCACTTAATCATACTTATTGGTGTGCTTTGGAAGGAGATAAGACAGATGTTAGGCTTAAGAGTAGCATATGCATCAAATTAGCGCAATAAACGCGTTGCAAGCTGTCAATTAACAAATATAATATGAATATAAGCTATTCTTCTTTGCATTATTTTGATTAAGAGGGTTCCTAATTTTTTTCGTTCTTTCTAAAAGTACAATATTATATGATAAATCAAAGACTAACCAACGGTCTTTAGAACAATAAAAATATATCTAAAATCTGTTGAAGCCAAATAATTGATATTAGCATCTGCCAGCAAAATCATCATCCGACCAGTAAACGACAATTGCACACGAATGAGTCCCTTTCCTTTATCCTTTGCTTATCATGCAATTAATGATCATGTTGCTCGTTAACTCGTGACTCATGATTATGACATTATTAAATTAATCAATATTATCAACTCTTTTGAAATATATTCCAATATTATTTTGTAGGATGAGATGGTACTATATCTTGAATTGAACGCAAAGCACAACAATTGAATCCCAAATTGTTGGCCGACTTGGCGCCTCTCTTTAGGCTATAGCGACATGGAAAAAAAAAAATATTTGCATCCGGTGTTTGAATCAAAACCAGTAAATAAATGACGTGTGACTTTTATACATCCATTTATCAATTAGTAATAGCTATAATACGTATTCACACTTTATTTTGTAACTTTTAACGGTTAAAATGTTTAATTCAGTATAATTACAGAGTGCAAACACCGAACTAAACATTTTAATATAAATACATGTGTAACTATAAACAAGTTTGTGATCGATGAATCACTTCTCCGGTATCGGTAAGCTACTTGGGGATGTTTTTGGCTTCACATCAAAGGGAAGTGTGATCATGGCAGGGGCAGAATCAGGATTTACCTCTTGAAATGGTACTTCAAAGGTCAAAGACTGGTACAAGCAAACCTCATCTTCTTTGCAATAGTATACCTGAAATTGGTTTTACAAGTTTAAATTAGACAGTGCATCCTGTTCTTGTTTAATATTTAGCTCATATGTAACAGGTCTCAAAGTCGTAGGCAAATTTCACAGTAAAATGCTCGAAAAGTGATAATTCACAGAGCAACATCACAGCGAGGCACATATACAACCACATTGTTTGATCCTATTGGCATGCATTGCTTCTGTATATAACTATTCTTTTCATGAGCTGTTACTAACAATTGCTAATAAAAAACATATATAGCAAGCCACTGTCAATGACATAGCACACGCTACAGAGGTCAAATTGTCATTGGCAAATTTGAAGCAACTGATGCTTCATTTTGCTTGAAACGTTGCCTGGTATCTGCGTGAGACATAATAATCAGCTACAAGCCTTCTATTCATAAAATTGGCGACAGATACACTAACCATGGCTTAGGGAAGCAAATGCAAGCCAGAGACTTGACTGAATTAAAGTCAAACTTCAAAGATACTATCTACAGATAACCGTACCTTGCAATAAACTCTGCCGGTGGATGTTGAAGCAGAAGATCTTCTGAAGTGCACTACTGCTGAACCTTCTTGGCTGAGATTTCCCTCCAAGGAATCAACAACAGCAGCAGCATCTGGATCAAAATCTATGCTAAATTTACTTTGTGCTTCCTGCATTTTGGTAGAAGGCAGCAAATTACATAAGGCAAATAAGCAAAGGTATCATAAACAATTTTTATTCATGAAAGAGAGAAAGAGAACCTTTGAGAAATGGTACCCTTCAGGTACCGAGATTCTTAAGTTTAATGTACCCTCGTTAGATGAACCACCATTAACAACAATAGTCTGTGAGTCAGCTCCAGAACGCCGTCTAAGGCGCTTCAAAGATCTGGATTTAAGTGGTGGCTGCACTCCTTTTAACTCCAGAGTAAGAACTTCAACTTCTGACTTGTTCAGGTCTAAGTATCTTATCACACTGTTATTCGTATCTGCTATGTATAATCTTCCTGAAAAAGATAACATAGAACAGAGTCAAACACAAGTTTCAGCTGTCACCTTTTCAAAAATGAATACAGAGATACATACAATTACTATTAGTTGAATAAAAGATATGATGAATTAGCTCCAGATTACTGATCAAAATTCAGTATGCATCACACAATGCAGTTCTAGAACTTTCTTTAGGTCTATCAAGGGTCAGATAAGAAAAATCATAAAACTGAACTAAAATCGAAAGTATGGTCTAACTCAAGACATGGATCTCAGATCTGGAATACCATTACCATCGCAGGATACAATTTCTTGGTTCAACTTGTCAACGAGACTAAAGTTCCTCAAACAATTGAATGCATTGTAGAAAGTATTACTGAATCTTAAGCAATTGATACTCAAGTGGTCAAAAGTGTTTATTCATCCCAGCCTTTCTCCCAGGTTTCTTCTCTTTGGCCTTTTCTGCTGTCAATACCCAGTCGCTCACTCACACACCAAAGAGGTATAGGAAACAGTTGCCTTGTTTACACCAATATTCTTTAGAACATAAGTGGAGTCACGCTCTGTCAGGAGATGTGATACGCCTTAGGTGCAAATTCTCATGCACCAAAATCCCAGTATGCACCTCCCTCCCTCCCACACATCCACACATTTGCATCTGATCTTTGGACAAATATGGAAGAGAGGAGGAGGTCAGTTAAAATGTGTTCATGCAGGAATGAACACTTCAGACGTGTTCAAGAAGGACTGAGCAGTGCCACAATTTGATTTCTTTCATAGAAAGAACTCTTCCCACAGAAGGAAATACTTTAAACTTTATGCTTTAGCAAGAATTTCTGCTTGATCAATTATAAACTACTAGCATGCATAACTAGCACTCCTACGGTTTCTTGCTGGTGCAGCTTAAGATGGGTTTACAAAAATTGAACGTGATAGAGCTCCTGACTAAATTGAACTTGAAGGAAGAAGCAATTAGGTAATATCATCTGAACATATAGTAAATGACAAGGAAAGCAAGAATAGTGCTTTTCATAACGAAAATGCAACACTTGTCAAAGTGCTATATTAAATCATGAGGTCAACTTTTTGAGGATATTGTGGAAAAATAAACTTTTGAGGATAGACCACTAATTTCATTGAGATTAGTAACGTCTCTTATTCCTGCAAAGTTTCATGGCCCACTCTGAGAGTGAGCAATCAACCAAATAAATCGCAGCACATAGAAAAGAGAGTACCATTTTCTGCTTCAACGATTCCAGATGGCTCTGAGAACTGCAGGAAAAGAAAAATTTAAAAATAAAACAGAGAAGAGAATCACCAAAATTGCAAGTCAGAGATCCCCTAACAGTAGAAACAAAGCAATTTTAGAATGACAGATTTAAGAATCAAAAAGAAATTCTCCCTCTAACAATGTAATGTGAAGCTTAATGGGACAAATCAGTAACTAGTATCCTATAGTATTTAACTTAAGAAAAAATGATATTCCCTTTTTTTAGAAGGTAAAATTTTGTTGATGTATGGTAGCAAGGAGTCTTCCAACATACAAGAAGTACACAAAGGTAGATAAGTAGGATTGTACAATTCAAGGAACCATTTATGCTTTTTGTGACCTCTTGGGGCAAGTATCAGGTCCAATAAGTGCAGATGATTGGTGCTCTTTGCAGAAATAGCAAAGTCAGTTTCTTGTTGCATGTAGTTGGGGTGTCTTTTATCTCTTCATTCAACACAACCTCAGCTGTTCAGCATTCACCACGCAGCCTCACCCCCTACCTCAACCACCAAATTGAATGCAGTAATGCACATACTTTCAAGGGAAGAGAGTTTGAGAGAACAATTAGCAGTACTGTAGTCTTAACATTTTTACAAAGAATCAACTTGTTTCTTTCATAAAGTTACATATAAAAGTAGATTCAAAAGAAATTTATTATGCAGGCAAAGAATCAAACAGAATGGCGCAAAAACTTCCATCATTTTAATACCAAGGATTTGACGTCCATTCTCCTGTAACTACAGTTAGGAGGATCCATCCAATAAATTAATAACTTGCTTGGGTCATCTAAGAGGTAAGGCCTCCTCCTATCGATCCTAACTTTCATTATTGAGTTAAAGGAGTCCCCTAGCCCTTCAAGTTTACGCGTTGATCCCTCTGTGTTGTCACTATCATCAATATCAATCTCATTAAAAGAAAACCTTTAGGCTTGTTATCCAGGAACTTGTTCAGAAATATCTACCACTACAAGTAGCTTTTATTGATTGGCTACAGTGCTCACATTCGAAGAACAAGCACGAAAACCTTCCTAAATATGAGACTCTAACATCGATCAAGTTCATGCTTATTGTTAGTTATGTATAGTCCCACATTGGAATGGGAGTAATATGTACTTTGTAGACTGTGAGAATGCACGGGAGAAAATATATTATTGATTAATATTGACAATGATACAATGAGCCATATATATATAATACATGTTCTACTCCTAATACATATGGGATTAGGGTTATTTACTACTATTTAACTATCAAACTAACACTCCCCCTCAAGCTGGTGCATATAAATCATATGTACCGAGTTTGTTACATATATAACTAATACGAGGACCAGTAAGGGACTTGGTGAAAATATCAGCAAGCTGATCATTCGACTTCACAAATTTTGTAGCAATATCTCCCGAGAGTATCTTTTCTCTAACAAAGTGACAGTCAATCTCGATGTGTTTAGTTCTTTCATGGAACACTGGATTTGACGCAATATGAAGAGCAGCTTGATTATCACACACAAGTCCCATCTAACTAATCTCACCAAATTTCAACTCCTTGAGCAACTGTTTGATCCAAATTAGCTCACATGTGGCCATAGCCATTGCTCGATATTCTGCTTCTGCACTAGACCGAGCAACCACATTCTGTTTTTTGCTCTTCCATGACACCAAATTTCCTCCTACTAAAACAATATCCAGACGTAGAACGTCTATCAGAAGGTGATCCTGCCTAATCAGCATCTGAGTATCCAACGATCTGCTCATGACCTCGATCCTCAAATAATAAGCCTTTGCTTGGAGCTGATTTTATATACCGAATAATGCGGACAACTGCATCCCAATGACTATCACAGGGAGAATCCATAAACTGACTCACAACACTCACAGGAAAGGAAATGTTAGGCCTAGTCACTGTGAGGTAATTTAATTTACCAACCAACCGCCTATATCTTGCAGGATCGCTAAGAGGCTCCCCCTGTCCTGGCAGAAGTTTAGAATTCGGATCCATCGGAGTGTCAACAGGTCTACAACCTATCATTCTTGTCTCCTCAAGAATATCTAAGGCATACTTCCGTTGTGAGATCACAATACCTGAGCTAGACTGAGCGACCTCAATACCCAGAAAATACTTTAATCTGCCCAGATCCTTAGTCTGAAAGTGCTGAAAGAGATGTTGCTTCAACTTACTAATACCATCCTGATCATTGCCGGTAATAACAATATCGTCAACATAAACGACCAGATAAATGCAGAGATTTGAAGCAGAATGTCGATAAAATACAGAGTGATCAGCTTCACTACGAGTCATGTCAAACTCCTGAATAACTGTGCTGAACTTACCAAACCAGGCTCGAGGAGACTGCTTTAGACCATAGAGGGACCGGCGCAACCGACATACAAGGCCACTAGACTCCCCCTGAGCAACAAAACCAGGTGGTTGCTCCATATAAACCTCATCCTCAAGGTCACCATGAAGAAAAGCATTCTTAATGTCTAATTGATAGAGAGGCCAATGGCGAACAGCAGCTATGGATAGAAAAAGGCGGACTAATGCAATTTTCGCCACGGGAGAGAAAGTATCACTATAATCGAGTCCAAATATCTGAGTATATCCTTTGGCAACAAGATGAGCCTTAAGTCGATCAACCTGGCCATCTGGACCAACTTTGACTGCATACACCCAACGACAACCAACAGTCGATTTACCCGAAGGAAGAGGAACAAGCTCCCAAGTATCACTCGCATGTAAAGCAGACATCTCGTCAATCATAGCCTGTCGCCATCCGGGATGAGAGAGTGTTTCACCTGTAGACTTAGGGATGGAAACAGAGGACAAAGATGACACAAATGCATAATGGGATGATGAGAGACAATGGTAACTTAAACCGATATAATGAGGATTAGGATTAAGTGTGGACCGTATACCTTTTCGTAGTGCAATTGGTTGATTAAAAGGAGACAAGTCCACAGTATTAGCAGGGTTAGGTGCAGGACGTGAATCAGCTGGGCCTGATGTTGAGGGCAGACGACGATGATAAGTCAGGAGTGGTGGAGCTGTAGAAGGTTGAACTGGACTAGGTGGTGGAACTGGAGCTAT